AATTTGCTCAAGTACTTTTTTGTAAGTCCTGTGGTGTTCCTTTCCTTCACAACATCCTCTTGGTGTTCTTCTTCGTCAGAATATTTATGTTTGTTGTTATTAATTTTCTGTATTTGCCTGAAGACGATACTATAGGTTCATCGAAAGTACTTGCGATAAAACATACATATAATGCCTAATTCAGTGATTTCTTTGTTCTACTATACAACATTTCGCGTGAATATCAATCTATAGAACATATTAGAATTAGTTTCAAACTGTAAATAATGGAGAGACAGAATATACCAATTACCTAGGAATTATAACACCACAAAATAGTAAGCAATTAATATTTTGTTACATAAATTTAAAAACTAAAGCAAATAAAGATGATGTGGAAAAGAAAGGGTAGAAATTTTTAAAAACAAAATCCTGAAATTATATAATCATTTGTTTATATAAATGATTACATCATTACAGGATTTCTAGTGTAAAATATAAATGTAAATGATTATTTTGTTGCTTATTTTCAACCTGTAAGATCTTAAAAGTATCAAAAAATCAAACATTATCCATGTTGTTTTATGAAGAACCACTTACTCTTCTTCGTAAAACAACATGGATAATGTTTTCCAAAAGTTGCAATCACTACAAACAAATTTTTAAAATAGAATCTTAACAACAATAGCTATGTTTCAAATCAAACAGACTTTGGTTCTGTATGAGAGTCTTACATAATTCAAGTTATCTGCAACTACCTACAAGAGATTTTGATTTAGCAATTCAGAAAATCTACAATGGAATTACTGTGTGGCTGCCAGCACCAAAGATCGTGAACACAGTCTGGCAACACTTCTAACGAGTTGTTGCCTGGCAACGGATATAAAAAAGAAAAAAGGCGCAAAAGTTTGTTGAGTTGCCCAGATGTAGCCTGAGGATGTAGACGACAGCTCTGATCTTATTTTAATAAAGTTCTTTTGTTACTATTTGTGTGTGTGCTTGCTTAGTGTTGATATTTTAAGGATCAGTACGATTGAATGACAAAACTGCATTATGTGAAGATAAAATATTAATATGAATGTACAAAATAATCAACAAATTGCTTCATATAGTAAAAATATGAAAAAATTGTGTTATTAACATCTTACAGGCTTTCTTCTTTATTTTTTATTTATTTGAGAAAATATGCATATTGTTAATATACAACATTGATCCATTAACTTTATTTTCATCTGCTACCGTGGACATGTATGAGTTGACATCATTATTAAATTTATTCATTGCATTCCTAATTTTAATAATTTTAGAATTAAAACTACAGTACTATAAAATAAAATTTTTAGTTTTATTAATATTAATAATAATAATCTTTATTAGCATAAAGGGAAGTGTCCCTGTTGCAGTTTTATTAATATTTGCAAGCAAAAATTATAATGATTAGAAATCTTTTAATTTTGCAGACTTGCATGTTAGAATTGTGAAATATCTCAGTAAGTAACAGTAATTCTTCTTTAACTGCACTTAATTAATACTCAAGCATAGACACACAAACCTTTATAATGCAGCCTTTTAATCCAATTATCTAATGTTTTTGGCCATTTTGAAAGGCCTTCATTAGGAACATTACAATCAAATGATTCTGATTTTTAAATAAACATTTGTTCTGGAACGTTTTAAATTATATGTCTGCACAGGCTCGTATATAAATAAATACAGTCTATAATGGTACTTGTACCAATATACACAAAATATATATATATAGAAAAGCTATTCACACTACACACTGAAGGAAATATTACTTGATAAAAAAATTGGTTTAATTTAAAAATGAGCTGTATGAAATAGGGCCATGATTACTAGAAGAAATCAACTGAAGGGTGATAAACCTAGTGAATAAAGTGATGGAAAGAATGCACAAGGATTATAAGAAAATGGAATGGATAAAGAAGCATCAACAGAGCAGACTTAGGCCACAAGACCACAAGATCATATGCTGGGGACAACATTACACCACCACCATGTATCAATGAAGTATGCAAATTTGGCCCCAAATATGTAGCGCAACCTAAGCTCACATACGAAAAGATCATCCCTGATGTAGAACACGCATTGGAAGGCTAAGTGAAATTAAGAAAGAGGTATACAGATTGAAAATGGCATGTAAAATAAAGGAATAATATACCAGAACAGACCATAGCACTATATGGAAAAATATAAGAGAAAGTAAAAGAATGGATGAATCTTAATAATAATGTACTTAAAAGAGCCGACAAATCGAAGGAAATGGTGGTAATGAAAAGATCTACATTTAATGTGCTTTTATTAAAATACATAAAAGAAACATAATGCAAGACTGTCCATCCATGTGCTCTAGAGTGGCTACAAACAAGAGTCAAATACTTTTCTAACACACCACTGGCTAAAGAGCTTGGAATAAAGAAGAAAACAATTGCCTCTCCATCAGTTCCCAGATTATTCGGATTTGCCAAAACACACAAACCAGAAAGAAGCATAAGACTGGTGGTGGATAAATTCTGCCATCCTATCGTAATCCTAGAAAGATTACTCAAGAACTTCATTAATGCATGCATGCCTCCACACAATTACAGCATAAAACCACCTCTAGAATTGCTGCAAAAAACGAAAAATATGAAATTAAAAGAAGGAATTTACATGACAGTACTAGATTTCAAGGCCTTATATCCTTCAATCAAACTAGAGCCATGTTTTTGAGACACTTCATAATGAGCAAGATAGGAAATGCAATATATATATGAAAAAGCAAATATTGGAACTAACATATCTTGCTACATATTCATTGATCTTTAACTTTAATTGAATTACATAAACACAACATAGAGTAGTAGTAATGGGAAGCCCTGTTGCAGATGCATTATGCGAGATGGTCTTAAGGACTTTAGAAAAAGCAATCTTACTGAAATACGCAGCACACTTTGTGGTATATGCATGTTATGTTGACAATGTCTTGATTACATGGAAAGAAAAACCACACATCTAACAATTTATCAGAGATGTCAGTTCCAACAAGTTCAGCCTAGAGTTCAAATTACAGCAAGAGAATGACAAAAATATGCATTTTCTAAACATAGCAATAGAAATAGAGAAAGGAGGGGAAATTGCCACAATAGTTTACAGAAAGGCAATATATAACCTGCTGTTTATACCATGGAACTCTCATGATCCGGCAAGTTATAAAATAGCAGCGTTCTGGGCACTTACAAAGAGAACGTATACACACTGCAGCAAACCACAAGACAGAATTAAAGAATTAGATCACATCAAAGAACTAACTAGGCAGTGTGGTATCTACCAGAATATGATTAAAGCCATTATTAATAAAACAAGAATAGATGATAAAGAAGGTAATGAGTGGGAAAGAATAAAAGAATACATGGTAATGGAATACGTGGCACCTCTAAGCAATATTTACAAAGAAATAGGAGCAGCAACAAACAAAAAGATAATTTTTAAAAGGAATCCCAGAGTATACCAAATGCTACACACAGACAAGGAAGACATAGACCTTAGCTTGATTCCAGGAGTATATAGAATAACAGTACAAGATGAAAGGTGACAACAAGAGCTATAGTACATTAGAACCATAGGGAGATCTTTAAAAGAAAGACTAAAAGAGCCCAAAAGGAATGTGCGGAATGAGCAACCAGTCACTGCGCTAGCAATGCATGTTATAGCAGACCTGACAGAAGTCACTGTGGATTGGCAAAGGACTAAAATAATACAAAAGATCCAGGACAAGAGGCATTTGAAATATGTGGAAGCATGGCAGATATATAAGACATACCAAGAAGGATTAGCAATAAATTTTAGAGTCCAGTAAAATCTCAGCTGCTTGAAGAGCAAGTTCAGTTTGAATATTATATTATAAAATAAAGTGACAAGTAGTTAAAGAAGCAGGCACTTTGGTGTTCTTCTCTATTTTAGCAATTGTGTTATGTAGTTTTTGTATATTTTATACATATTTATTGTATTTACATATTTAGTTAGTTAGTTATTTATTTTATTTTAATTTTGCTAGTTATTCATGTATTTTACATACAGCGTGTATCAGAATGACGTTGTAAAAATTTGGGGGATTGTAGAGGATGAAATTTTGAACGTTTTGATATCAGGAACCTATGGCTGGAAATTTGAACTAAAGTGTCTACAGTGGTAAGAAGTGCTTGACCCCCTTCACTTTGGTAGCTACCCTTCCATCCACTGACGTCATGTTATTGCCGCGGATGGAAGACTGTAAACACACAACTACAGTGATCTGAGCCTGTGTACAGGATGTTGTATACTTAGTGCTTGTCGTCCTTCAGGTCACCTCTTGCATCCACTGGTGCTGTGCTGTATACACACAGCTAGTCAATATGAGTCGAAGTTGGTGGTCATCACATTAAACATTTACTCTAAAGTAGTGCAGCCACTGATTTGATGTACAGTTTGATTGTACTCTACTGTTTTGTATAAATAAATAATTAATCGACGCACACTGGAACAATACAAATAATAAATTACCTAACTTGACTGCCTGTAACTGGCATTCTTCTTCTCCAATACAGAGGACTTTGCAAATGTTTTCGAACCTAATGTGGTTCTTCTTCAGGCGCTAAGGAATTCCCTATATGAATTCATATTTCCAGTCTAGAATTAACCATTGTTTGGAAAATCTTTTCCAAAATCTATTATAGCCCGATATTTAGGCGATCGTTTGGTAATTTATTATATACTACTCGGGCTGTGAGTAGTAGTTATTTATATATATATATACCTCACCGGGTATTGCGTTAGCTTGCTGAGTGCCGTTATGGCTGTGGGCGAAGGAGTCGTCCCCAGTCAGTGATGTATTTAACCAAGTAAAGTTATATCTAAATCTAATATACTTCTGGAAGCGAAGACTCTCTCGGGGTCCGGGTGGTGCAGGGATGCACAACCTTTTGTGAAGAAGGACCAAATTAGGATTAAGTTTACTGACTGAGAGCTAGACCTCCAAGCGATTAATGCAATGGCTGAGATTGGATGCTGGCAGCAATCTTCTTGATGTCTGGTGTAATGACAGATGTTGAAACAACCAGCAGATTTTCCAAATTCTTGTTGATTAACCTGTTCCGTATTTTGCACTTGTTTAAATTCATAAGCGAAAACTTGCAAACTTGTTTGGCAGTACCTATGTATGCCTGTTTGCATACATAGGTACTGCCAAACATGCTTGCACAAAATCGAGCATTGTCTTTCAGTTTTGGAAATGATGTATCTGGCAGTTTTTTGTAGAATGTAGGAGATTAGAATTTTGGAACTGTGATTTCAATTCATCACTGCACTGGATGTCTATCAACTCAAGTTGGACATCTGGAGGGGCATCTTCCACTTTCACATCAAATGGAGTTGAAAAAAGTTGCAGGTAGATCTTGTATTTCTGGAATTCACCAAACCTCTCATTGAATGATGTAAGGAGGGTGTTAACTTGGTCAGAGTAATCCATCTTCATATGTGGGTATTTCTCTTTCATGGCCTTGCAATGTGGAAAGTGTGTAAAGTTCTCTGATTGCATGTGGGACTTGAAAAGTGATAGTTTGGTCATAAATGCATTGATGTTACTTGTCAACTGAGAAACAAGTTGCATCTTTCCCTGCAATCTCAAATTAAGGTCGTTTAGATAAGCAGTAATGTCAGCAAGGAAAGCTAAATCACACTGCCATCTTTGTCCCTCCAAATTCCTTGTAGTGTTCCCCCGTTCTTTGAGGAAAGTGATAATAGGCCCCAATAGCTCCACAAATCTCTTGAGGACTGTTGCCTTGCTCAGCCAACGAACTTCAGTATACGTGGGCAGGTCAGCATAATCAGCATCTATTTCTTCAAGAAATGATGTGAAGAGTCGATGGTTGAGTCCATGACGGCGGATTAAGTTCACAGTATCATAGACATCTTTCAGCAGACGTTCAAATCCCAGCTTCTTTGCACAAAGTTGCTGTTGGTGAATTATGCAATGATACTGGACTAACTCCTTTTGCCTGTCCCCAAGGTGGTTTTTCAGCAAGGTGACCATGCCATTCTCACATCCAACCATAGATGGTGCTCCATCAGTGGCAATGCTGGATAGCTTGTCAAAGTCCAGTGCTGATTTGTTGCAAATGCTCAATAAACCAGTAAGTAAGTCAGCACCAGTTGTATGTCCGGAAAGTGATGCCATGCCAAGAAATTCTTCATTCACAATAAAATCTAGTGAAACACTTCTAATAAACACAATCACTTGTGCTGTTGATGATATGTCAGTGGATTCGTTCACAGCCAAAGAAAAATAAGCACAGTTTGCAACTAAAATATTAAGTTGGCCAGAAATGTCTGATGCAGTTTTCGAGATTCTCAGTTGTATCATCATGCGGTTAAGACTGATTATTTGAAAACACTTTGTCTTCTCAGGACACATCTTCTCACTTGCGATGATAAGACACTTTTTTATCATATGGCCATTGTGAAAGGTTTCCCATTCTTGGCTATTAAAGCAGATATTTCTAGGCTGGCTTTGACAGCTGCATCCAATTCTCCAGATTGTTTCTTGAACACATTTTGTTGGCTGATTAGTGATCATTGTAACAATTCAATTTTCCATTCGCGTTCCGTACCTTGCAGAAGGAAATCCTTGTATTGGCTTTCATGATGTCGCTTCAGGTTGAATTCTTTTGGCACTGCTATTGTTCCATTGCACAAGAGGCAAATAATGCTGTTGTTCTGTTGCACAAAACAGTACTTGTTAGTCCACACTT